TGATTGATGGTCCGAGGGTCGAGGACTACACTCCCTTGAGTCTTAAACATGATAGGGAGGGTGGTTGTGCATACATTGCTTTGAAAATGCATTGCCATGCTCTATTTGCCCTCTGCTGCAGCAAAACAGGATTCTGCAGGAAGAGATGGCCGGTCGGCCATCTTCAGTGCCGGCCGGCTACCAAAGTCCAGCCAATGGCCCCACTTTTGGTCGATGACCACTTCCTAATGGCCGGTGGTCCTATCTTTTGGCCGGTGACATCCCACAATTCTCAAGGAGTAATTAAGAGGCATATCAAGGATTTTCACAGTTCTCAGAGGTGCAGAACAGTGCAAATAGAGGCAACATGTGACATGGCAACGGGTTTCCGAGCAGAGCCGAGCGTGCATGCATTCGTCCCTCTTCCCGAGGCTGTTTTACTGCTTTCAGTAATTTAATTAATTTGTTTAATTAATTAAGTGTCTGTAATATTTAATTAGCTTGTTAGTTAATTAATTTGTATTATTCATTCGGACCCTTCGAGAGAGGGCAATTTTGTAATAAGCGTGCGTGCGTGTGATGCATGTCTTCCAACCACCATTTCTTTCTCCCTTTTGCTTAACCGCTTATGATGGTTAGTGCTAGGGCACGTTTCAATTAGCATACTTATGATAGTATGTTTGCATCATTCATCTGTATTGCATGCACCGGGCTCGGCACATCATGCTAACTGCATTGTATTTCAATTCCAAGTTGAATACATGTATTGGATTGTCGCACCTCATATGCCATTCTTAGGATAGCCGAGCCTATCTTAGTTGTATTTTGCATGCGTTGCATTAGCCATCTTAACATGAACTAGGATCATGCATGATTACTAACTAGTTTCTTGTTTTGGCTCGGAGTATATTGTAAGTGTTTATGCTTTAGCATCTTGCATTTGTGTAAGTGTTAACATGACAGCATGCTTACCATGAGGCCATTTGCTTATGTGATATAACTGCCTGAATGCCCGTGGGTGAAGGTTGGATTACTTAAATTGGAATAATTTATTGAAATCCGTGTTTTAGCCTACTTGCGAGTAGCAAATTTCAAACTATTTCTAAACAAAACGGATATGCGATACTTTGTTCCAAATTAGGCGATCTAGTCTATACTTGTGTGTTCTGCGCATCACATAGTAATTCTAGCTAATTAATCGGAATAAGAACGCATGTGTTTTCAAAAACGAGATATCATGTTTAGTAGTGGCCGATCTTTGATCGGGCGAGTGGGAGTGCTCATAGCTGACCTTTCCCAATCGTACCCAAGTTCCTGAGCCGAGGCAACTTTGGTGATGACGGACATGTGGCCTTAGGCAACGAGTCAGGGTGTCCTAAATTTCCCAAAAATAAAACATTTAGATGGCGACTCTGTATCTGGCAAAGCAGTCCATGTTTGGCACTTCTTTCTAAAAATCTGTTTTCCAAAACGATTTTTCGAACTTGGACTCTTTGGTGATTTATCAATCTTGCATTGCACTTTGCGAGATCAGATTAAGAACCGTGACATTGAGTCCGAACTGTAGTGAGCCCCAAATGAATAAAATGGGATTCCCTCCCGGGACGTTCGGGGGCGTCTACACATGCTTTGCTTGTGATGTTTGCATGATATAGCATCCTTTAGCATGTAATTTCAAAGCATATACCTCTATCACACTCTCACACATATCACTCATTAAGTGCTTTTGAGAGTTGAGCGTTATGCCTTACTTACGAGCTAATGAATGAGCATGCTTTTCTTGCCTTTTGTGACTAAGTTCCAGCATGATTTAGCCACTGTTTTGGCATGTTTTAGCTCTGTCTAGAGCTGGTTTGGTTGTTTAAGCCTTGTATGGCATGCCTCTAGTGTTGTGTCCTTCGCTTGTTTCAATACCTTTGGCCTATAACATGTCTTGCATGCATGTCTTGCATAATTTAATGTCTTTTACATGCCATTTCAGTGCTGAAATATATGCTATTGCACTCCATTAATTCACTCTTTCATGTGCTTTGAAAGTGGTCTTAGGCCCCTTGTTGGCTTGAGTGTGAATTGGAGGTCCTTATGCCCAATGGTTTTAACCTTCTCTTGAGGGTTTTTACTAACCAAAAGCATGGACCTTCTTTCATGCCCAAGGTGCTTGTGGCTAAGGCCATCTTTCCAATTAGAGGACAATCACATTGGACTTAACTGGTTAATGGACTAATCGGTAAGTTAAAATGAGTAAACAAGAAAAGGACCAAGTAAACATGTGAAAGATAAGCATGTTGTTTGCATTGCATTGCATTGTGTTCGGATCAGACGTTAATCAAAACACAAGAAATGTGGGAAGTTTTATACTTGAAGTGATGAAACGTGTCGCATTTCTTGGTCGCCAACACCTTTGATCATGCATGATAGGGTGGAGGCACTTTAAGTCTTATGTGCGCATTCACTAAGCTTGTACAAGCTTGGTTCTTTGGCCATCATGCATTGAAAATTCTTGATTGGTGACTTGAGAGCCGAGTGCCACCCTCTTTTGAGCTTGAGACATGATAAGGAGTGTGGCGGTACACACATTTCCCTGCAAAATACATGGTTGTGCCTCTGTTGTCCTCTGTTACAGTAAAACCAGAAGCCTGGAATAGCAAGTGGCCGACCGGCCAGTTCAAGTAGCCGACCGCCCACTTCCACTAGCCGACCGGCCAGTTATGGTGGCCGGCAGCCACAAAAACCAGGTGCAGAAATGATCCTATTTTGGAGCAGAAACGGATTGGAGGTTTGGTTCAATGTTCAGAAACCAAGGCACTTGCAAACAGAGGCAATTGGCGACAAAGCGATGGATTTCCAGGCGAAGCCAACTGAGCATGCATGTCTCCCTCCCCTTGAGGCCATTTTAACTGCTTTGCTTAGCTAGTTAATTTACCGATTTTGTAATTAATTAGTTAATGTGCTTGGCTAATTTAATTCATCTTTGTAATATTCTAATTAGCTTAGTATAACTAGTTTCAATTCGGTTTTTAATTAATTAGCTAGATTAGTTAATTGGTTAATTTGTAATGAGTAGCTTAGCTTAGCGTAGCTAGCTTAGCTTATTTATTCAGACCCTCCGTCGAGAGGGCAAATGTTGTAATAAGGGTGTGCGTGTGTGTGCATGTCTTCCAACCCCCACTTCTTTCTCCCTTTTACTTATCAGCTTTTGATGGTTAGTTTAGGGCATATTTCGATTAACATACCTTATGCTATGCATGTTTGCATCATTCATTTGTATTGCATGCACCGGGCTCGGCGCATCATTCAAACTGCATTGTATTTCAATACCTATTTGAATACATGTATCAAAGTGTTGCATTCATATGCCATCTTAGGTAGCCGAGCCTATCTCATTGCATTTTACATGCGTTGCATTAGGCATCTTACATAGTTAGGATCATGCATTGATTTCTAACTAGTTTTTCTGTTTTGGCTCGGAGTACACTGTAAGTATTTACGCTTTAGCATACTTGCATGAGTATGAGTGTTGCCATGACAGCATGCTTGCCATGAGGCTACTTGCTTAAATGATTAACTGCATGAATGCCTGTGGATGAAGCCTTTATTGCTTGAATTGGGACAATTCAAGCAAATGTGCGTTCTAAGCCCACTTTGCAGAGTGGACAAATCATCATGTTTTCAAGCCCACTTGAGGGTGGCAAATCCGCACTTTAGCCTACTTGTGAGTAGCACTTTCAAACCATTTTCGAAAAACAAACATAGGTTGAGTTGTTCCAAATTGAGTGATTTAGTCTATACTTGTATGCTGCGCGTATCACGTAGTAAGTTAGCTAAATAACTGGAATAAGAACACATGTGTTTTCAAAACAACATATCATGAGTAGTAGAGGCCGATCCTTTGATCGGGCGAGCTTGGGTGCTCATTTCAGGACCTTCCCCTCTCGTACCCAAGTTCCCGAGTCGAGGCAACTTTGGTGATGACGGACACGTGGCCTTAGGCACGAGTCAGGGTTTCCTAAATTTTTCAAAATAAAATATTTAGGTGGCGACTCTAAAATATGGCAAAGCAATCCATGTTTGGCGCTTTTTGATTAAAATTGATTTTCTAAAACGATTTGCCGATTTATCAAGTCTTACATTGCACTTTGTGAGATTAGATTCAGAACTGTGATAGGAGTCCGAACTGTAGTAGCTAGAACCCAAATCCGCGCCCTCTCCAAAAATGGGGGCGCGCGGAGGAAGTTCGGGCGGTCTACAATCACCATGTCGTCGATGTATACTTCAAGGTTCCATCCGATTTTACTGCGGAACATTTTCCTAACCAACCGTTGGTGTGTTGCTCCAATATTTTTAAGACCGAAGGGCATCACTTTGTAACAGAATAACCCAATAGGTGTGATGAATGAGGTCTTTTCCTAATCATCCGAATGTATCGCAATCTGATGATATCCTTGATACGCATCCAGAAAACTCATTCTTTCGTGTCCGGAGGTTGCATCCATGAGTTGGTCAATTTTTGGTAGAGAAAAGCTATCCTTGAGGCATGCTTTGTTTAGATCGGTGAAATCTATGCACACCCTCCATTTGCCATTCTTTTTCTTGACGACCATATTGTTGGACAACCACTCCGGATATTGAACTTCCCGAATAACATTTGCCTTAAGTAACTTAGCTACCTTCTCCTTGACAGTATCGACGTGTTGAGGTGTGGACCTCTGATTCTTCTGTATCATCGGTCGTGAGTTCGGACTAACGTGTAATTTGTGGCTTGTCACCCTTGGGTCGATGCCCTCCATTTTATAAGGTGTCTAGGCGAATATATCCCTGTATCGGAGTAGAAAATCCACCAGTTGGCTTTTCTCTTCTGGGGCGAGATTTTTACCTATGAGGAAGAACCTGTCTTCATCTTCCGGATCGATTGGTATTTTTTTGAGTTCTTCGGCACTTTTAGCTCCAATTTGGAGATCAGCTTCCTCTCTTGAATCATTTGTCCGAACTTCCAGTGGCCGAGTTGAAAATACTGCCATACATCATTTTGCCATTATTTGGTCCCCTCGAATGGTCTTGACAATGTTAGCTTTTGGAAAGCGTAGAACCTGGTGGAAGGTAGATGGAACAGCTTCCATTTGGTGGAGCCAAGTTCTACCCATTATGGCATTATAAGGAGATGGCACGTTGACCACCTGAAACTTGACTTGGTGGACTGTTTCTCCGGCCTTGACTGACAGGAATATGCATCCTAAAGAGAATACTGGGCTCGAGTTGAAGCCATAGAGTGGGTATTCCACATTGAGCAGGGCTTCATGAGACAACCCTAGTTTTTTGAAAAGTTCGTAGTACAAGATTTCGATCGAACTACCTAGGTCGATCAATATCATTTTGACATCGAATTCCCCAATTTGTAGTATTACTACCAATGCGTCATTATGGGGATGATGGACCCATGTCATATCCTCATTAGAGAAAGAAATCTTTGTTGATGAACGAACCCTTTTTACAGCCACCTCTGATAAGGACATAGTTTCTCTTCAAAGTGTTGGTGTTGTTTCCCGACTTATGCACCTTTTTGTTGGAACCGAATAGATCATATTGATAGTTGCAGTAGGTTGTGTTTCCCCAACTTTGTCCTTAGTAATATCCTTTCGATCTGTGGACGAGTCAACATAAGATCGTAGATGTTCGCTTTGCACCAATTCTTCCAAGAATTATGTAGACACCCCATTTTTGACCACCCGTAAGACTTAGGTGCTTAGTTCAACGCACTCGATGATGAAACTGCATTGTGTGATTCGAGTTCTCGACAAAGGAATCCAAGGTCGAGCCCCGAAATAATCCTAAAACCTTCATACTTGCCTTTTTATTACCTCAAAGGTTCATTTTTGAACATTGTGCCACCTTACATTGAGTTTGAAACATGGGAATAGGGCAGCACAGTAGGGCCCAGTCGTGCCCCATTGAGAGCCGGTCGTGGCCATTTGGGCCCGGCCGTGCCTTGCAAGCGATAAACTCTGTTCTTAGTGAGAGCCCGCCAGCTGTCTTTTTTTGAAGATATTTTCAACTTTTTTTGCTCATATTCTATAAAAATGAGGTTATACATCTGTTTTGAGGGTTGAACAATTTCAAAAGAACATATACACACAAGAGAGAGCTCCTTCTTCCTATACAAGTCACCTTTGAGCAAACCTATCTCTCTTGACCAATATCCATACACCATATACCACCTTAGATCATAACCTTAGAGCCTTGGTTGAGGCTTGTGCATCATAATTCAAGCTTGAGAGTGTACTTGAACCAAGTTTGTGTTACAAACAAGAGCTTGCTTCTTTGGGAGGTATACGCTTAACACCTTCTCTCTTACTTCTTTTGCTATCTCTTGTTAGCTACTTCTTGTGTTTTGTGTTGTCTTAAGTCCTTTTCAAGTGTTTAAACTTGGGTTTGGATAGCTACCAAAGGGTAGAGAGGGTTAACACTTTCTCTTGCACCTTATTTCATTGCTTAAGCCCTTGTTTTTACACTATTTTCTTTAGTTCTCAAGCTAATTTTCAGAGATTTAAAAGGGCTGGACAACATGGTTTAAGGTCTCAAAAAGTGGAGGGGTTGGCCACCTCTCCTTATCTTTGTTTACTAGTTTGTGTCTCCTTACTTTTGTCTATCTTTTTGTGTACTTTTAGCACACTTTTAGCCACTGTTTTCTTTTTTTTTTTTAATGTTTGGGGGCTGTTTTGGAGTTGTTGTAATTTATTTAATTAGTTTATGCTTTGAATATTTTCTTGTTGTATTGTAAGTCCGCATAGCTTCGGTTGTTTAGGCCTTAGATCCCGAGTTGTTCGAGTTGATAGCTTTCTTCATTCCAAAGGTCTCATTTTAATAATCAATTTAGCATTCATTTCTGCAACCTCTCTCTTTTCTTGTTTTCTTCTTTTGTTTAAGAACCATTTCAACCGGTTGATGGTTATTCAAAGCATGAGCTAGAAACCTATGCTCAATGGCTTAATCTTTACGGAGGTTCACCATCAACGGTATGGTCCCTCTTTCATGTTTAGGAGGACCTTTCGCTTGACGTTCTTCTCGTTTAGTGGACTTAAACATCATTTGGACAAATTGATTAAGAAATGACAAAGACTATTAAAATTGATGAAAAATTGGACCAACCAACATAAGAAAAATAAATAAGGTCGTTTGGGTTCGGCTGGATGTTATGCCAAGTGTATTGTGTCAAGAGTCGTCAAACATCAATTCATGGTGCTTTGACGTCCCTTGAAGCGTCTCTACTTCCCTTTTTGAGTTCACTCCATGATAAGAGAGAAGGGTGAGTGTTATCCATTACATTCATTAATTTTTGTCCAAATCGTGGCCGAAATCAGCAAACAAGCAACTTGCTCATTGGTGGTTCTGGAAACGACTTCGTCCTTTTCTTGAGGCTTTCCATGACAGAAAAGTGTAAGAGGGACAAACAGAGTTCATAAAAAACTCTGTCTGCACTGTTTTCTCCTCAGAGCACAAAAATAGGGTTTTGCACAAAATTAGGGCACGACCGGCCTTATTTGGGCCCGGCCAGGCCTCATTGGGGGCTAGTCGGGCCTCATTGGGAGCCAACCGGCCTTCAATGTTTGGTACATAGTGTGTTTTTGCAAAAATAGAGGGCAGTGGGTAAAGGTGAAACGGGGCAGATTCCAAGGAAGGCAAGCAGAGCTGTTTCTGAAACCGTCACGTGCATGCCATCTTTGTGCATCCTTGTTTGGATCAATGTTGTAAATTAATGCTCTCATTATAGTTGTAATTAAATATAATTAGCATTGTCGTAATTGTTATACTTGTTGATTTGTGTTTGTTATAGCTAGTTAAATTAGATAGCTAGTTTCTTGCCTGTTCTTATTCTTATTGTAATAAATTAGATAGCTAGTTTATTTCTTATTTATTATTCGGATTTGTAGTAGTTAGTTTGTTTCGAACATTCAGACATCGATTCAGATCCTCTTGAGTGAAGGCAAATATGTAATAATGGTGTATGTCTTCCAACCCCCATTTCTTTCTCCCTTTTATTTACCTGCTTATGATGGTAGCATAGAGCATCATACTTACTTCGCATTCCCATGTCTGCATACACTTGTCTCATGTACATTTGGGTTCGGCTCATCATACTAACCAATGTCAAATTCAATGTCATTGCTTGAAAACGTGATTTATCACATGTCTTGATTTGGATCATATACCATGCTCATAGCCGAGCCTATAAAAATTGCATAAATGTGTGCGTTGCATTAGTCACATTGTATCATTTAGGAACATGCATATTTCTAATTATTTCGCTTTGTTTGGCTTGCCTTGGAGTACTAGGTGAACGTTTATTGCTTTAACATCTTGCATTGTGTGTGTGATTGTTGCCATATCAAGCATATTTTTCATGAGGCTAAGTGCTTAAGTGATATACCTATTTTAAATGCCAGTGGATGAAGGCTAATTGCTTAAATTGGGGTATTTGATGAGTGTACATATGAGATCACTTTTTCAAGTGGTACATATTCAAAACAATTTTCAAACAAAAGCAAAATCAAAATTTCTAATTTTTTGCAAATTAGTCTGTACTTGTGTGCAATACATAGTAATGTTAACTTAATAAATCAGAACAAGAGCATATAATGTGAATAAAAATCACATCATGATTAGTAGAGGTTGGTCTTTGATCGGGTGAGTGGGGTGCTTATTTCATGGCTTTCTTCTCTCGTACCTAAGTTCACGAGCTGAGACACTTTGGTAATGACAAATAAGTGGCCTTTGGCACGAGTCTCGGGTTTCCTAAATTTTTCAAAAATATTTAGGTGGTGACTCTGTAATCTGGCAAAGAAATTATGGGTGAGTAGCGGATATACAGATCCGCTCAAATCGACCGAACTAAACCGATCCTCAGCATTTTGGACGGATGCGTGATGACGAGTGGACGGTTGCGGATTGATTTTTTCCAATCAGCCTAGTTTTGGACGGATGACAGATTTGAGGTTTTTTGGGCCGAACTGCGAGCACCCCTAGTAATTTGTAAGAGTTTGTGTTTTCAATTTGTTTAGATATTCTGTTTGTGTTTTCAATTGAAAAAGAGTTTAAATATTTTGTTGAATATATTATGTTGAAAAAGAGTTTTCAACTTCCATATATTTTTTGAATTGAAAAAATAAATGTATTATTTATCTATATTTTTTGGGTTTTAAATCTAAATCTAAAAATAATAAATAAAAAAGATGATATATGCTGGTTGGTTTTTGTTTTCAAAAACAGATATAGATATAACAATATAGAGGCATACAATCTCTACTATTGCTCTGTTCATGATTTTGGTGGTTTGAATTGTTTTTATATTTTAAGCACCACAAATTATAATACATTATGTGGATGAGGTATGCTGTGATTGTAATAAATGGATGAGGCATGCAGTGATTGTAATATTCTAAAATTTAAAACTTTCTTTCTTTGGATAAGGCATACAGTGATTGTAATTTTCTTTTAAGTCTTTGATTGAAATACTTTTTTTTTTTTTGAGGAAGTGCACAAATTGAATTATGTTGAAAATTTATAAAATTTTGAACCGCCAAACCGATTCGCATCTATTCGCCAATCCGCTTAATCCACATCCACCGGATTGGCGGACGAATACGGATTGATTTTCTCCAATCCGCCAGGAGGTTTCGTGGCCGTAACCGACCCACGCCCACCCCTAAAAGCAATCCATTTTTTGGTATTTAATTCAAACATTGATTTTCTAAAAGAATTGTCAGATTTGGACTCTTTTTGTGTTTTCACTGTTTCATATTGCACTTGTGAAATCAGATTCAGAACTAGGGGAGTCCGAACTGTAGGGCTAGTCGTATCTGAAAGGAGCACGAAAAGCAAGCTACAGTTTTTGGCAACTCTGCTGGGGATTTAGAGAGCTTGACTTGAAACTCAAGATATGATATTTTATTTACATATATATGTTTTTTGCATTGCATTTGCATGGTTACTTTAAGTCACTGTGTTTTCCATCTGCTATTCTTGGACGGTTTGCCAAAGGCTTGTCCCAAAACTTGGCAAAAGGCTGACCAGTCATGGGCTCTGCCATGTTGGAAACACAACCCTTGGATCTGGATTACAGCTGTACCGCTTGATCCTCCTTTCACTTCTCGGTGTTAGGTGTAGAAGGTATATTAGGTTATCTTGCCAAGGTACCCTTTCAACCATTTGGCCTAGCTTCATTTAGTGAGCTATACTGACTATTCCAAAATAGAATAGAATGCCACCCGCTTGCAAGATGTTGTGAGACTCTTTGTTTGAAATAGCGCAGCCTAGATCATGTCAAAAATCTAGGACAGGGTAACCCTCCCCCCTTCATAGGGGTGTTTTGGTTCTTTTGCTTGGTATGTGCTTTTATAGTGAGACTGTACAGGATGATTCATATCAGTATTAGTTTGAGAGCAGAGTTTAGTAGGGATTGTGGTTCTTCAGTTGTGTTTTATCTACTGTGAATTGGGCCGAAGTGCCATCCGATTTT